GTCTCTAGTTGCTCCTTTAGTTCCTTTAGTAAGTGATCGTCAGAACCAGCAGGTGGTCCTTGTGTTTGCGATTAGTTGTTATTTGAGAAACAGACTGTGGCAGGGAAATAATGGAATAGATTACTTCCTCCCGGTGGCTTTTGGACTGGGGCATTCTAGCCAAAAAATTCTTACTCCCTGGGAAATACTTTAAGGTGAAATTAAAATGATTGAAATATTGAGCCCACCAGACCTGTTTTGGTAATAATTTGTGGGGGATTTTCAGAGCTTCCAAATTTTTATGATCAGTCCATACTTCAAAAGGTATCTCCCCCCTTCCAAAAAATGACACCACTTTAGTAATGACCATTGAACCACAAAAGCCTCCTTCTTCCAAACAGCCCACCTCCTCTCTGTTTCGGTTAGCTTCCAGGAAGTTTAAGCGCATGGTTGTAATTCCCCCTGGTGATTTTTTTGTAATAGAATAGCACCCACAGCCATGTCCTCACATAGGCTTGAATGATGAATTGCATTTCAGGATCATGGTGCTTGAGAACAGATTCAGCTGCAAAGAGTCTTTTTAGTTTCTCAAATGCCGCTTGACATTCTAGGAACATAGCAATGGCTGACAAGGTCGGGGTTTCTCCCCCCCTTCTCATTTTCAATAAGTTGGTTATTGGCATGGCTATCTTTGTGAAAGAGGGGATAAATTGGTGGTAAAGGCTAGCAAACCCCACAAAGCTTTGAAGTTGTTTACGGGTGCGAGGGGGCTGCCATTCCAATACAGCTTTCACTTTTGCAGGATCCATTTCTGTCCCCTCATTTGAAATTTGGTACCCTAGATAGTCAAGGCATGTCTGGTGAAACTCACATTTAGAAAGCTTTGCATTCAGTTTAGCCTTCAGCAATTTCCTCAGCACTTCACAGACCAATTTAATATGCTCTTCCATAGTCTCAGTGTAAATGAGAATGTCATCAAGATAAACCAAAACCCCCTTATACAGATGATCGTGGAGCACCTGGTTGATTAACTGCATAAATACAGCAGAGGTTCCTTGTAGTCCAAAAGGCATCACTTTAAATTGAAAGCCTCCCAGGGGTCAATTGAAGGAGGTTTTCCATTTGTCCCCTTCCTTAATCCAGACTTGGTAATAAGACTCCCTTAAATCCAACTCTGTAAAAACTTTCCCCTTTGCCAGGTGGGCTAACATGTCCTTCATTAAGGGGAGGGGGTGCATGTTCTCTAGGCTGACAGCATTCAATATTTTAAAATCTACACATAATCTCAGCAAGCCATCTTTCTTTTCTTTGAACAATACAGGGGCTGCTACACAAGATTTTGGTGAATGGATGAAACCCCAGGCCAGGTTCTTATCAATGTATTCTCTTAATCCCTTCACCTCTCTGGGCATCGTTGAATACATTATTGGCTTCGGGAGCTTGGCCCTGGGTAAGATTTTAATGACGCAGTCCCTAGCCCGGTTTGTGGGGGGGAAGAACATCACACTCTTTCTCACTAAATGCCTTGGCTAAATCACAATATTCAATTGGGACAAGCTGGATTCCTGGTACTTTCTCTACAACAGCCTTTAATGTTTCAGGGTGTTCTTCCTGAGCCTCATTTATGGTATAGTCCTTTGTATCACTGGAAGTAGCAGGGGGGAAAGGACCTATCCCCAATCTTAAATTCCTCATTCCATTCTCTCACCAGATGGTTGGGCACTACTTGTCAACTCAGGCCAGACTCAAAATTACAGCCTGAGTTATTTTTGGGACCACCACAAAATGAATGATTTCCCAGTGCCAGCCCATTTCCAATCGCATTGGTTCTATCAGGTGTGTAGCATGTGCACAGCCGATTAGGGACCCATCAGCTTGTTCAAATCTCATGGCTAGGGGTAATAGCCTTGCCCAAATCCCCAGTTTAAGGACTGTGGGTAGATTAATTAGGCACCTGGTGCAACCTGAGTCTATTAACACATTTAAGTCCATTTGGACCCCGGTTTTGGGTTCTATTATCTTGGCGGGAATGGCAAAAGGTGGGATGGGTTGACTTACCATTGGATCCTCCTCGCCTTCCTCATCACTGTCATAGGGCGCTGGCATCTGTAATAGCTCTGGCTGGGCTCTTGCCTCGAGCTCAACAGGAGGAGGGTGTCCAACAGCTGGGTCCTGTTGTACCCAGTTTGTCTTTTCCCTTCCTCCTCTGGGGATTTTTCATGGCTTAGCAGTGACAGCTGGTGTGCTTCTGGCCTGGGGGCTGGGGACTGGACATTCCACAGCACAATGGCCCATTTGGCCGCATTGGTAGTATTTGATTGGAGCTCTAACTGGTGCCTTGGGGGCGCTGGTGGTTGGGGTGACTTGGAAACGTTGGCTGGACATGTGGCAGCTTGGATTCGGAGGCCTGGCTTTCTGGGGCGATCCAATTTGATGTCCAGCATCATCACCATGCTGTACCACTGATGCAATTGGTTAGGAAAGTTCCTAATGATGCAGACTTGGAGTTGGTTGCAGTCTAGACCCTGCTTGAAGTAGTTGATCAATGATCATTCTGGCCATTGCCCTAGCCAATGAGCAACTCGCCTGAATTCACAAACATATTCCTGGGGGGGGGGGCAGCCTTTTTGCTTCAGATGATGGATCTCTTTCTTGGCCAACAGGGCCTGGGATTTGTCTTCAAAACGACTTCTCAGTTGCTCCATGAATAGGTAGCATTCTGCAGCTCAGGATCCCCTTCATGGAGGTTGGTCATCCAGTCGGACACTTCCCCCTCCAGGCTACCACAGCATTCACTATCTGAGCATCATCTGGGTAGGTATAAGTGTAGTGATCTAGATGAGCCCAAACTTGATTCAGGAAGAAGGATAGCTTCTCAGGGTCCCCATCAAAACTGGGCTTGATGGGAGGCAGCTCAAATCATGGTGGGCCACCTGCTCTTGCTTCTGAGCTGCTTGTTGGTCCTGGGGACATGGCCGAACCACCCACCGGACTTCCCTTGGCCAGGCTCCTGGACTGGCAGCCCGAGGCTGTGGCAGCGGGCTTGGTTGGGATACAGGGCGACATCACAGCTGGCTGGGAAATAGGTGAGGCAGCATGGGCTCCCACAGTTGGGCTGGGCGAGGGGGGGAAGAGATGGGTAGCCCGTGGCATTCCTTCTCATGGGGTTCACACTCTGGGCGACGGGAACCATCTCTTTTACCTCCAATCTGCTGAACTTCTCTTTCACTTGCTCAAGTGAGGGGCTGTGGACTGTGGACTGGAACTTCCAGTCTCTGGATTTGCCCCCTCTGATTGATCCCTTTCCCTTCTGGTATGCTGCAGACGAAAATCCCTGGGATGGCAGCAATAGGGGTTCCTCTTCAGCAGCAACAAGGGTGCTCCTGTGCTGAGGGGCAGTTTCAGCTTGATAGAGGTCTGCTAGGATCGTAGTTCCTCCCTGCAGTATGAGCTTCCCAGGTTGGATCAACTGGGACTTTGACAGCCCCTGCCAGTGATGTCTTCTTGGTGGCTGGAGCGGCTGCTTGTGCTTCGACAGCAGGAGTTCTGTTGCGGCCAGCAATGATGCCACTCTTTTCCTCCATCCTCAAATCTTTGCCAAGTCTTTACCACTCTCCCAAAAGATGGATAGGTGGTTAGGGCCCAGTACCCCAAAAGAAAATTTAAGTTTTACGAGACAGTTTAATGTCATGGTTCTGATAGACAGAGACGAATAAAGCAGAACTCCGAGGCTTGAAAATTCCTCAAAGAGCATGTTTATTAGTTACAAAGTATCAGCACAGTCAGAAGTGAAACCAAGTCCAAATACACAAGTAACAATTGCCCAATACAAAGCTAAATGTCCCACCCATAAAACTATGCAAGCAACTACGTTCCCCGATATGATTATTTGGTGGGGTTTTTATGCAACACCCAGTCCCTAGTCTTGGGAGCAGCCGATGACCTTGGTTCCCATGGGACAGATGATTATTTTGACTAACAAAGCACCTGGGCAACCCCCCTCCCTCCGTTCTATGTGGCAACCTAGAATGAGAAGAAAAAATGGCTGCAACTATGCTCATTGTAGAGTTGACAATCTCTGGGATTGCCACAAAGAAGAGGGAGTCAAGCTATTCTCCAAAGCACCCGAAGGGAGATCAAGAAGCAACCAGATGGAAACTAACCAAAGAGAGAAGTAGCCTAGAACTAAGGAGAAATTTCCTGACAGTTAGAACAATTTATCAGTGGAACAACCTGCCTCCAGAAGTTGTGAATGCTCCAACACTGGAAGTTTTTAAGAAAAGACTGGACAACCATTTGTCTGAAATGGTATAGAGCAGACATGTCAAACTCGTGATGTCATGTGATGTGCAACGTATCGGGACGGTTTTGCCATTGCTGGCAATGGGGTGAGCACGGCTTCCGTGTGACATGTCCAGCCCATGGGCCGGCAGTTTGACACCCTGATATAAGTTTCCTGCCTGAGTAGGGGATTGGACTAGATGACCTCCAAGATCTCTTCCAACTTTATTATTATTATTGTTACATAAGTATATAATGCAATGATTCTGTTGAGCAATGTCAGGAGCAATAGCTAGAAAAACACCATTTACCAAAGCGGAATTGTGCTGCTATTATTATACATGCCATAACTTCTTGTATTATTTATACACCATTTATACATAAAGTATTGAATAATGCAAATTTATGCTCACATTAAGGTAAAAAGAAAAATCAAAAGGTAAAAGGCTCTAATAAGAGAGAAAATAATATTAACCTTTCCCTAATTCTGAGATTTCAGAAATTGTCTACATGTAACAACTTGCCCTGTTTTTACAGAGCATAGTGGAATAACATAAATCTAGTTAGTCAGATTCACTACTGTTACTCATTGACTAATAGGAATAATAGTAGATATTTTAATAATTTTGTCATGATATAACTGTTAATATTTTAACTATACTATTTGGGTAGTAATATCCTCCACAATTCTCAATATTAAATAGCAACACTATTTGCTTTAATCTTCTTGTTCCTTACAGCTCATGCAAAAAGTCACTAAGAAAGATCCACCACCAGCCATGGATGATCTTGATGTAAGTAAAGAGCATCTTTAACTATTTCTGAACTCTGCTTGCTTGATTCCATATTATCAGTTTATCAGATTTGCAAATTAACATGGCTGGAGAACTGAGATGGAATATAGCTTGTGCTTCACTAGTATTTCAAGCCACTGTTCCAGTGGCTTGCAAAAGTATTTCATTTCATAAATTTGGGATATGCTCCTCTCTCAGTGAAAATACTAATCTTTCTCTGTATGTGCTTAATAATTTTAGGATGACAGCTGAAAGGTACAACTTCCTGACTGGACTGCTACCTAAGTTTACTACAGCTACAGTCAACAGTGACATGGGAGTAGGCATCACATTGGCTAAGGCCTAGGACAAGGAAGCAGATTGATGTGTCAAAGTGTTTCAAATTTATTTGTTTTCAATGGGTGTTAAATTATTGCAATGTAATTTTTCTGGATGACTTTAATAAACAACTCTTTGCACCAAATCTGGGAGCGAAGTTGGCCCTAAAGACTTAGCAGAGTTGTTATAATCCAGTCCCTATAAGAAACAAGACTCACATAGCTGTCTTTGTAATTTGGATAATTACAAAGAAACATTTTGCAAAATTTTGTGAAAGAAAATGATCATTCAATAATCAAAAATTAGCTTCAGCTGATTTTACTTTCAAGGAAACATTTATAAGTGTGTGTTGCCCCTTCCATTTCAATGAGTGGCCAACCTTATTTGATCTTTGAGGTTCAGTCATAATTGGGAACTATCTGGAAATACTCAGCTGTTGAATAAGCAGGGAAATAACAACAACAACAACAACAACAACCTTAACAGCTCTTAGATCCTTGGTTAGGACTTGAACTGTTAAGTTTGTTCAAGTCCCAGACTGTGAATCAAATTGAAGATTAACAATCATCATCATCATCATCAAAGTGGAGGAAATATTATAAAGGCAATTAACACCTGGACCATGCCAATAATACGATAGCTGGAATAATTGATTGGACTCAGATAGAACTTGATCACTTGAATCAAAAGACAAGAAAACTAATGACAATGCATCATGCCATGCACCCAAAAAGTGATGTCGACGATTGTATTTGCCTAGATCTCAGGGTGGCAGAGGAGTATTATAGGTGAAACAAACTACAGAAGAGGTAAAACATGGCTTAAATGACTATATAAATAAAAAGCAAAAGAGCCTCGGCAGTCTTGAAAACAATAAGACTGAAAGTAGAATATCGAAAGGAAACAACTGAGCATTGGGTTTCTAACTGGAAAAAAGAATCGTATGCACAGTCAATGCATGAAGGACATTGAAGGACAAGTAGATACAAAGCTAACATGGAACTGGTTGATCTCAGAGGTGCTGAAGAAAGAAACTGAAGGCTTCATTTTGGCTGCCCTAGAATAAGCGTTGCAGACCAATTCCATGAAAGCAAACATTCAGCATGTCAGTAATAACAGCAAATGTCACGCAATGAAAAAAATGAAAGAGTGGATCACCTATCAGTTGCTGCAGCAAAATCTCACCGACTGATTATCTACAATGTCATAATCGAGTTGACAAAATCATACATTGGAAGCTTTGCCAAAGTTTTGGGTTCAAATGCGGCAAAAATTACTGGGAACAGCAAATTGACAAAGTTCTTGAAAATGAGCAAGTCAAGATCCTGTGGGACTTTTGGATCCAAACAAAGAGACCTCTGGCCCACCACACGCTGGACACGCTGGACATCACTATTGTGGAAAAGAAAAAAAGTCTATTTCATTGATATTGCAATACCAGGGGATGTGCGAATTGAGGAAAAACATATAGAAAAAATAACAAAATATCATGATTTGCAAATTGAAGTTGAACAACTATGGAGAAGAAATCAATAGCTGTACCAATAGTAATAAGAGTCCTTGAAGCAATACCCAAAGAGCTGCCTAGATATATGGAAATTTTGAATTTATTAGACCTGAATATTGCAAATAAACCACCCTACTCGGAACTGCCTAAATACTCAGACATTACCTTAACAGCATTTTGGTTAGGTTCTTGGTTAGGACTTGAACTGTCACTTACGCAATGACTGTCACTTTATCAGTCCTAGTCTGTGAATCGAATTGTAGGTTAACCATAATAATAATTATAATCATACCATTCTAGAAGAAGGTAGTATTTTAGTGAACCATTTCCCTAGCACAAAATTCTATGGTTGTTTCCCTTATGTTAGCTTAACTGGGGAATATATTTATCTTTTCTTTAGCATGCTTCTTGGTGACAATCTTAAACTTTTTATTTTATACTAGAATTCTTATGCTAGGATTGTCAAATCTGGGCTGCAAACATGGAGGCCAGCAGGGACAACTCTCTCATCTTAAAAATGGGAACTAAAATAGAGATCCAATCCTCAATTATGATTTCCCCATGCCTTTAATTCTTTCTCTATACCACATTTTCTCAACTTCAACCATTTTAGGATGGACTTCTATTTCCAGAATTCCCCAGCCAGCTTTCTATGAGTAGAAGTCAACACATCTTAAAACTGGATAAGCACCGATTTATACAAATTAATTCAATTTATATGCCGCCCATTGCTCCTGACTACAATATTAAGCTAAATGCTATAGGAACCATAAACTATTGGGCTAATAGATGTGGGCTGCAAAAAATTCAGACCACTTGACACAACAAATATATTGAGAAAACTCTACTCTTTGCTATCATTTGGTAATTGTTCTGATTTCTCCAGTCCCAGGCCTACACATTATATTACTCTGCTATACAAATGTAGTCAATTGTGATTTGTTCTGTTTGCAATCATTACCCAAACCTCTCTTTAAATGATATACAAAATCAGGCTCTAATAACATCCTCAGCAAGGAGCTTTCCCAATCTTAAAAATACTATTTAATCCCAAGGCTGGAAGCTTGTAAAGCGAGATCTCTGTTTTCACAAGAACAAAATTGCAAACAATGAATCGTGGATTGTTACTGTTGTTTTGCCTAATGCTTTACATTAATGATTTTAAATTATATATATTTGATGTTGTAAGCCGCACAGAGTTTTTTGAGTGGGTGACTATAATAAAACTAAACAACAATAATGGATGCGAGGAGAAATTGATATAGGAAGTAATAAGGCATTTGACAAAGTAGACCACAACCTACTTCTTGGTAAGCTAGAAAAATGTGGAATAGATAGCATCACCCCTAGATGGATTCGTAACTGGCTGACAAACCGCACTCAATGTGTAGCCCTTAACGGAACTACATCCATATGGAGGGAAATAAGCAGTGGGATACCCCAAAGTTCTGTTTTAGGCCCAGTACTCTTCAATATCTTCATAAAAAATTAAGATGATAGAATAAAATGGCAACTTGTCAGATTTGCAGACAACACCAAGCTGGCAGGAATAGCCAACATCCCAGACAATAGACTCAAGATCCAAAAGGATTTTACAGAGTTGTACTTTGGGTCCTATTTAACAAAATGAAATTCAGTGGTGAGAAAAGTAAGGTTTTACACTTAGGCAAGAAAAAACAAAGGTATAGGTATAGAATAGGTAGAAACTGGCTCAATGGCAATAACTACAAAAGGGATCTTGGATTCCTAGTGGATGATAATTTAAATATGAGCCAGTAGTGTGCTGAAGCCACCAAAAACTAATGCAGTCTTAGGCTGTATTAACAGAGGAATAGAATCAAGATTATATGAACTGTTAGTATTCCTTTATAACAGTGGTTCTCAACCTTTTAATGCCGCGACCCCCAATCGGTCGTAAGTCGAGGGCTACTCAACCGGTCGTAAGTCAAGGACTACTCAACTAGTGCAGCACCGTTTGCAGAATGGGACTTTTGGCAGGCTCAGCAGGGCAGAGACAGCCTGGACAATTCCTATTGGATTTTGAAAGCCAATAGAATTAGACTCTATTCAAGAGAGTCTATTCTATTGGCTTTCAAAAGCCAATAGAATAAAAGGGAGTAGCACAGCTAAGGAAAAGGGGGAAAAAATGGCAGACTGCGTTGTTTGGCAACCCCCATGAAATGGTCGTTTGACCCCAAATGGGGTCCCGACCCACAGGTTGAGAACCACTGCTTTATAAGGCCTTGGTAAGACCACACTTGGAATACTGCATCCAGTTTTGGTCACTCACAATATAATAAAAGATGTTCAGACTCTGAAAAGAGTGCAGCAAGAGTAACAAAGATGATTAGTGGATTGGAGTCTAAAACATATGAAGAACTGTTGCAGGAATTGGGCACGGCTAGTAATCCTTTATGGATTACTGCCTTGTCGTAGCGAAGGGGCTTGCGTAACTCAATGAAGCTATAAGCTATACCGTGCAGGGCCACCCAAGACGGACAGGTCATAGCAGAGAGTTCTGACAAAATGTGATCCACTGGAGAAGGAAATGGCAAACCACTCCAGTATCTTTGCCATGAAAACCCCATGGACAGTACTAAGAGGCAAAAAGATATGACGCTGGAAGATGAGCCCCTCAGGTCGGAAGGTGTCCAATATGCTACTGGGGAAGAGCAGAGGGCTAGTACTAGTAGCGCCAGAAAGAATGAAGCGACTGGGCCAAAGCCGAAAGGACGCTCAGCTGTGGATATATCTGGTGGTGAAAGGAAAGTCCGATGCTGTAAAGATTTTTTTTCCATAGGAACCTGGAATGTAAGATCCATGAATCAAGGCAAGCTAGACGTAGTCAAAAAAGAGATGACAAGACTGAACATCGACATCTTAGGAATCAGCGAACTAAAATGGACAGGAATGGGTGAATTTAACTCAGATGACCATCAGGTATACTACTGTGGGCAAGAATCCCTCAGAAGAAATGGAGTAGCCTTCATAGTCAATAAAAGAATAGGAAAAGCAATACTGGGATACAATCCCCAAAATGACAGAATGATCTCAATTCGAATCCAAGGCAAACCATTCAATATCACAATAGTCCAAATCTATGCCCCAACCACTGGTGCTGAAGAGGATGAAATTGACCGGTTCTATGAAGCCCTACAGCACCTTATAGAATTAACACCAAAAATGATGTCCTTATCATCATGGGGGATTGGAATGCTAAGGTAGGAAGCCAAAAGATAACCGGAATAACAGGCAAGTTTGGCCTTGGAGTACAAAATGAAGCAGGGCACAGGCTGATAGAATTTTGTCAAGAGAATACGATGGTCATAACAAACATTCTTTTCCAACAACCCAAACACTCTTTTCCAACAACCCAAGAGAAGGCTCTACACATGGACATCATCAGACAGTCAACATAGAAATCAGACTGACTATGTGCTCTGCAGCCAAAGATGGAGAGGCTCTATACAGTCAGTAAAAACAAGACCAGGAGCTGACTGTGGCTCAGATCATGAGCTTCTCGTTGCAAAATTTAGGCTTAAATTGAAAAAAGTAGGGAAAAGCACTAGGCCACTCAGGTATAAACTAAATCATATTCCTAATGAATATACAGTAGAGGTGACAAATAGATTTAAGGAATTAGATCTGATAGACAGAGTGCCTGAAGAACTATGGATGGAAGTTCGCAACATTGTACAAGAGGTAGCAACTAAAACCATCCCAAAGAAAAAGAAATGCAAGAAAGCAAAATGGCTGTCTGAGGAAGCTTTGCAAATAGCTGAGGAAAGAAGGGAAGTGAAAGGCAAAAAGAAAGAGAAAGATACACCCAATTGAATGCAGAATTCCAGAGAATAGCTAGAAGAGATAAGAATGCCTTCTTAAATGAACAGTGCAAAGAAATAGAAGAAAACAACAGAATAGGGAGGACCAGAGATCTCTTCAAGAAAATTGGAGATATGAAGGGAACGTTTCATGCAAAGATGGGCATGATAAAGGACCAAAATGGCAGAGACCTAACAGAGGCAGAAGAGATTAAGAAGAGATGGCAAAACTACACAGAAGAACTATACAAGAATGAGCTTAACATCCCAGATAACCACAATGAGATGGTCATTGACCTCGAACCAGACATCCTAGAATGTGAAGTGAAATGGGCCTTAGAAAATCTGAGCAACAACAAAGCTAGTGGAGGTGACAGTATTCCAGCTGAGCTATTCAAAATCTTAAAAGACGATGCAGTAAAAGTGCTACACTCAATTTGCCAGCAAATTTGGAAAACTCAACAGTGGCCACAGGATTGGAAAAGGTCAGTTTACATTCCAATTCCAAAGAAAGGCAATGTCAAAGAATGTTCAAACTATCGCACCATTGCACTCATTTCACATGCTAGTAAAGTTATGCTTAAAATCCTACAAGCTAGACTCCAGCAGTATGTGGATCGAGAACTACCAGAAGTACAGGCAGGATTTCGAAGAGGCAGAGGAACTAGAGATCAAATTGCCAACATACGCTGGATCATGGAGAAAGCTAGGGAGTTCCAGAAAAACATCTACTTCTGCTTCATTGACTATGCTAAAGCCTTTGATTGTGTGGATCACAACAAATTGTGGCAAGTTCTTAAAGAGATGGGAATACCAGACCATCTTATTTGTCTCTTGAGAAACCTATATGCGGGTCAAGAAGCAACAGTGAGAACCGAACACGGAACCACTGATTGGTTCAAAATTGGAAAAGGAGTCTGGCAAGGCTGTATACTGTCGCCCTGCCTATTTAACTTATATGCAGAGCACATCATGAGAAAGGCAGGGCTAGATGAATCAAAAGTTGGAATTAAGATTGCCGGGAGAAATATCAACAACCTAAGATATGCAGATGATACCACTCTAATGGCAGAAAGTGAAGAGGAACTAAAGAGCCTCTTGATGCGGGTGAAGAAGGAGAGTGCAAAAGTTGGCTTGAAACTCAACATTAAGAAAACCAAAATCATGGCATCTGGCCCTCTCAATTCCTGGCAAATAGATGGGGAAGAAATGGAGGTAGTGACAGATTTTATTTTTCTGGGCTCCAAGATCACCTCAGATGGGGACTGCAGCCAAGAAATTAAAAGACGCTTGCTCCTGGGGAGGAAAGCTATGGCAAATCTAGACAGCATACTAAAAAGCAGAGACATCACCCTGCCAACAAAAGTGCGTATAGTCCAGGCCATGGTTTTCCCAGTTGCAATGTATGGCTGTGAAAGTTGGACCATAAGAAAGGCTGAGCGCCAAAGAATTGAGGCCTTTGAACTATGGTGCTGGAGAAGACTCCTGCGAGTCCCTTGGACTGCAAGGCGTTCAAACCGGTCAGTCCTAGAAGAGATCAACCCCGACTGCTCTTTAGAAGGCCAGATCCTGAAGTTGAAACTCAAATACTTTGGCCACCTAATGAGAAGGAAGGACTCACTGGAGAAGGGCCTAATGCTGGGAAAGATTGAGGGCAATAGAAGAAGGGGACGACAGAGAATGAGATGGCTGGATGGAGTCACTGAAGCAGTAGGTGTGAACTTAAATGGACTCCAGAAGATGGTAGAGGACAGGAAGACCTGGAGGAACGTTGTCCATGGGGTCGCGATGGGCCGGACACGACTTCGCAATTAACAACAACAACAACAAAGTCTAGTGAAAAGGTGACATAAGAGTGTTTCAATATTTGAGGGGCTGCCACAAAGAAGAGGGGTGGGCAACCTATTTTACAGAGCACCAGAATGGTTGGAAACTAACCAAAGAGAGGAGCAACCTAGAACTAAGGATACATTTCTTGACAGTGAGAAGAATAAACCAGTGGATCGGTTTGTCTTCAAGTGTGGGTGCTCCATCACTGGAGGCTTTTAAAAAAAGACTGTCTGAAATGGTATAGGGGGCTGGATTAGAAAACCTCCAAGGTCCCTTTAGATTTCTTTGTTTTTTTAATAGCAGCAAATGTATTTTATTCCGCCTTTCCCCGCAAGGAGAAAAAAACAGCCCCGTGAACATTCTCACTGAGCTCGACCTTCCACCCCACGCTCGCCCTCGCTGCCCAGACTTTAAAGTTAATTCTTAGGTCACGAAACACACAAATAGTTCATTGGCCAACGTTGGCCCCGCCCTCCCGACATAGCGAACTTGGAAAAACGTAACAATTATGTCCTTTGCTGCCTGCCTTAGGCCGCCAGTCGCGCATGTGCGTTGTCTCGGGGAGAGAAAAGGCGCCGGTAGTTCGTGTCTCCTGGTGGGCCAACTTCAGGGACTGCATGGCGTTTATGTGCCAGCGGGACAGCTGGCTTCAGCAGGTGCGGAAGGATGCGGGCGAGTGATGGCTATGAAGTCGTGGTCATTGCCGCTATTCGTGGGGGAGGAGGAGGGAGGATGAATGCTTACAGTTTTATTCTGCATCCCTTTGCGCTGGAGAAGGATTCTTGGTGTAATCTTTCCAATCTCCAGAAGGAGATAAGGGGCCTTATCCAGAATTGGAAAGACACAAATTGAAATGAATAATTGCAGAGTTCCTCTGTATTCAACAGATGCAGAATTTTAGAAATCAACAGGGCTTTTTGAGCCCAAAATAGCCCATTATTCCCGTTAAATGAAGGAACAGTTCTATATACAGCAGATGATTCTTAGGTAGGCCTGATTTCATCCCTAAGCAATTGTTGCCATTCCATGTATTCCTTATTATAGTTTACTCTAATACAACTAATAAGACAATGGATTGTAATACAGAATATATCTAATTGTTTCCACAATACAATATACTGATGTAAAAATCAGTTGCTTATACATTGTAGGTCAGTAGAAAAGGAAAGCCCAGGAAAGCAAAAGGAAAGAGTGAAGCTTAACTGCCCTTTGCCCATGAATAACTTGTCTGTGAGCAGAGTTATGACTCACTGTAATTAATAGGAAAGTGCCTCGAGGCCACATCTATATTTTTTGGTCTCATTTTCAAATATTTCTAATCTGTGAAGCATTTAGAAGGCAACCAAAGTGAAATTGGACATCTTTAAAAAGTATAATTTATATACTAATAAAATGGATTTATTGTGGATTCTGAAGCTGACATACATGGTACAGAATTAAAATGCAGTACAGAAATATTAAAATGGAAGTTTGAAATGAAAGTGGATCATTTGCTGAAAGTAATAATTGTTACAAAATGTATGCAGTTGTCCCCAGGAATTTACAGATAAGAAGGCTATTATTAAAAACATAATTTTTCTCATTGTTCATCACTCTTGGCTTGCACATGATACACCTCTTTAATCTCAATTTTCTATGTGATAGTTGCCTCTACCAAAACTAAAGATCCCTTCCTTTTCCTATTAAGCTTACTACCCAGGTGGTGTCCTGTTGCCCGGCAAAATTATCTACAGAAATTAGAGGAAAGAACATTTTGAAAGGTTTCCATGTCATCCTGGAAGACACTATTCTTTTCCCAGAGGGTGGAGGGCAGGTACTAATAATTGTTCTCAAACTATTTTAGACTTGTAAATTATTATACATTTCTTAATATGTTGCTTGATATTAAGTATCACTTTCTGTTTTTAAAACCAAAAATTTAATTGGTCAATATATGTTAGGAATACATGATTTTCTTTTTACTTTTAAACATGTTTATTTGTATTTAGATACTTAATGAGGTAATTCAAGAATAAGTTGTATTGAAAACAGTTTTAACATAAAATAGAAAGGCTTGGATTGCACTAAGGCAGTGATGGCAAACCTTTTAGAGACTGAGTGCCCAAAAACTGGCCCCGCCCCCACTCCCCCCCCATCGCCCGCCCCGCCTGCCTGCAGGGCCACTCACCACCTCCCGGCCCGTCGCAGATCGCCCAGGCAGCCCAGCAGCCCTATGGCGGTCACGCCCTTTGCCCCGCACCCTGCAGCATCAATGTGCACTATGGGGTGTGAGGGCAGAGTCTTGTCTATGCTGCCTGGTTGCCATGTCTTTGGCTGTGCTGCTCCATATGGGCCACGCTCAGATGCGACTTTCATTCAGGGGGGCTCTGGAGAGGGGGTCACGGGGGGAGGCAAGGCTGGGGCAACGGCACGTGTACCCACAGAGAGGGCTCCGAGTGCTGCCTCTGACACCCGTGCCATACGTTTGCTGCTATTGCACTAAGGTATGTTACATAGTTTGAAAATTCTGGAGTGACTATGATTCTTCCTAAAAACCTTTGGTATGAGATTCATAATAATTGAAATGTTTACTTCAAGTAATTAATAATATAAAAATGATCGAGCAATGCCTTTATTTGTGCAATCATTCATTGTTGCTCTTCCATTAATAACATTTATTTTGGGATATCTATGGAAAGGATAGCATTTATTAATTTTTCCCCAGAACCTTCCCACAAATAAAGTATTTATGAACTAAGTTTGTCTCTTTTATACATCTTGTTGAGGGTGCTTTCCGCCCCTCAGAAGCTGGGATTTAACTTTAAATTTCTTCATTCCAGCCTGATGACCGGGGATTTATTAATGATATCCCTGTTCTCAGAGTCACCCGACAAGGTCCAGATGCTTTACACTTTATCCAGACACCACTTGAGCCAGGAACTAAGGTACAACTAGTGCTGGACTGGGACCGGCGGCTTGACCATATGCAGCAGCATTCAGGTGAAGAATTAATGCATGTGATGTCCATTAGTTTGGGTGATATAATACAGAATACTTAAAGAAACCTAATAGAAAGGGTTTGAATAGCTGATGAATAATTATCTGTTTCAGGACAACATCTCATCACAGCACTTGCAGATCTGATGTTTGGATACAAGACAACATCATGGTAAGCAGGATGCAATTCTTCTCTTTTTCTTCCTTGCTTGTGGATTCTAAAACTAGAGCAGAGGTAAGTTGCAAAATCTGTAGAAATGTAACTCTTTCAGGTAATGCTGACAGACTTAAAACCCTGTAGAGTAGTTATTAACAAAAATCCTCTGTAAAAAGAACAGATAACCATATAGTTCATTAGAAAATAAAAACCCATTGTTGTTAATATTTTAATTAGGACAAATAAAAATGCATAAATGTATGTATATGCTTTTGAGTTATTGGAATTCTTGTTTAGACTAGGGTCCCGAAATTAGGGAACGGAGAAAAAGTATTAAAATAAGGGTTGCAGCCATTAGGATTGCAGCTTAGAATAAACCTTATGATGAAGATTATAGAGTTGAATATATTACTATATAATAAAGTCATTGTTTTACAATAAGGATTCTGGGACAAAAAGCCATGGTGGGGCTCTTAGTTTAACAATACACAAAAATCACTTGCCTTTTTTATCTTTCTTTGATGAAATGCCTGACAGCATATTCTGAAGCTAAAAAATACAATGCTCTATTAACCTGAAAGTAGATTTTTAAGTTTCAAGCTTTTTATTCACCCCAATTAGGTAATTTAGATTCAGCTGACTTTCCCCCCAGTATGTAATTGATGTATTCAGTCTGCCATGTCTGTCTTCAGACTGATTATAAATTGGAGATTTCATGGATAATTTGGCTCGTTTTTTTAGATTTTCCAATAATATTGAATAGAATAGAATAGAGCTGGAAGGGACCTTGGAGGCCTTCTAGTCCAGCCCCCTGCTCATTCAGGAGAACCTATATCCATAGTGTCGAACTTATGGCATGCGTGCCACAGGTGGTACGCAGAGCCCTCTCTGTGGGCACATGCGCTGTGGTCCCAGTCCTAGGCCTTCAGTTCTGTCCATGAGCAACCTGCATCAATACCCGCGCAGGGTAAGGTTGCCGCGCCCGCCTCCCCAGCTGTTTCTTTACTAACCTGCCTTTCAGCTGCATTCTGTTTCTCCGTTCGCTTCTCAGCCTTCGCCATGTGTTTGTGGGACTATCGGTAAAAAAAAAAAAAAGTTCCATCAGACTTTCTAACTTCTCATGAGATCTCAAGAAGTTAGAAAGTCTGATGGAACTTTTTTTTTTAACCGATAGTCCCACAAACACTCGGCGAAGGCTGAGAAGCGAATGGAGAAATGGAATGCAGCTGAAAGGCAGGTTAGTAAAAAAAACATTTGGGGGAGGCGAGGGCATTTGGGTGGGGGCGGCCATGGCAACTTAACCTGCATGGTGGCGGGAGGGTGGGGTGTGTGCCCTTCCCATGCCAGGCCAGCCCCTGCAGCCCCAGAACAGCCATCCTGGGTGGTGGTGGGCAGAGTGTTGAGGTGGGGGTCGGCATGCCAGCTAAAGCAGCAGGTGGAGCGCCGGAGGCTTGGGGAGGGAGGGCACTGAAGTGGGCAGTTGGGCCATTAGAAAGAGCAACGTGCCTGAGCGGAAAGCAGCCTCAGAACAAGTGGGCACATAAGGAAAGAAATCCTTCCCCCAGAAATTGCCTTTCTTTCCTTACCTGATTTCCAGCCCCGTGCCATTTCTCCTTCACAACCTGCCGCCACCGCCGTGTGCATGTTTTTTGGGGAGAAAAATTCCAACTTCTCATGAAAGTTACCTCCGCCCGGCTTCTTCCATGGCCTCATAGCAGCGGCATTGTGTGTGACACGCGAGGTGGCAAATCGCTGTGGCCGGAGGCAAACAGCCATGTTGCACCAAAACTGGCTGTTTGCTGCCTCCAATACCGCTGCCATGAGGCGGCCCTCTGGCTCCTGGAAGTTGTGTTGGCGTCCTTCGTGCCGGGCATCCTTTGTGGTGAATTTCTGGAAAGATTTGCGATGGGGATGGGGGTGACTCGTGAGGCAGCAAGTGGCCATGGCCAGAGGCAAACAGCCACAGTGCACTGAAACCAGCCGTTTGCAGCCTTCTGCCCATTGCCGCTGCCATGAGGCTGTGGAACAAGCTGGCTGGCGGTAAGAAACCGGTATACCGGTTCCTTACCTCCGTCTGGCTTGTTCTGCGGCCTCATGGCACCCACATTGGGTGCAACACGCGAAGCGGCAAACAGCCACGTCGCACCAAAACTGAGGGGCCGGCAGACTGTGGCTGATAATGGACACAGTTGGCCCCCATGCACTTGCTATGTGCGGGAGCCGATGGTGTCAGGCAGTAGCCGCCCTGCCTTGCCTTGCCTCACCCCACAGGACGAGCCACCGTCCCACCCGCCAGAGACCTCCTGTATCTCCCCCAACCCTGCCTGGCCCCCACAACATCGAAGTGGCCACTCCCACCCCGGCCATGCCCACCCAGTCTGCCATGACCACCGCAACCATGACCACCCAATTGGCCACACCCACCCGTTGGTCCATGCCCATCCAGCACCTGACGATACATAAATGGGTTTTGGGTTGCAGTTTGGGCACTCGGTCTCTAAAAGGTTCGCCATCACTTATACCATCTCAGACAAGTGATGGTCTAGCCCAGTAGTGGCGAACCTATGGCACGGGTGCCAGAGGCGGCATCAGAGCCCTCTCTGTGGGCACACGCACCATCGCCCCAGTCCTAGGCCTTCAGCTGGGCTTTATAAACCCTTTTCGCTTTAGGCCTCCGCTGCCGTGTGCAAAAAAACCCAAAAGATTCAATCAATCAATTTCAACTTCTCGCGGGAAAAAAAAATCTTGCAAAGTTGGAATTGATTGAACTTTTTAGTCCCACCCAGTCTGCCGTTACCACGGCAGCCATGTGCACCCAATGGGCCACGCCCACCCAATGGGCCACACCCATCCAGCACTTGACAATGTATAAGTGAATTTTGGGTTGCAGTTTGGGCACTCAGTCTCTAAAAGGTTCGCCATCACTGGTCTAGCCTCTTTCTAAAAATCTCCAATGATGGAGCACCCACGGTTTCTGGGGGCAAGCTATTCCACTGGTTAATTGTCCTCACTGTCAGGAAGTTTCTCCTTAATTCCAGATTGATTCTTTGATCAGTTTCCAACCATTGTTTCTTGTCCTGCCCTCTGCTGCTTTGGAGAATAAATTGACCCCCTCTTCTTTGTGGCAGCCCCTCAAATACTGGAATACTGCTATCATATCTCCCCTATTTGTTCTTTTCTTTAGACTAGCCAAACCCAAGTCCTACAGCCATTCTTCATATGTTTTAGTCTCCAGGCCTTTGATCATCTTAGTTGCTCTTCTCTGATTTTTTTTTCAAACTCTCAACATCTTTTTTGTGATATGGTGACCAAAATTGACTGCAGTATTCTAGGTGTGGTCTTACTAGGGTTTTATAAAGCAGTACTAATACCTCATGTGATCTTGATTCTATGCTTCTGTTTATACAACCCAGGATTGCATTAGCTTTTTTGGTTGCTGCTGCACACTGCTGGCTCATGGTTAAGTGATCGTACTGCAAGGTCCCTCTCACAGTTACTATTTTTAAGCCAGGTCTTGCCCAATCTGTACTTGTACCTTTCATTTTTCCTGCCTAAATGTGAAACTTTGCTTTTCTCCACATTGAAGCTCATTTTGTTGGATAGGGCCCATTGTTCAAGTTTGTCAAGATCTTTTTGGATCCTGAGTTTGTCTTCTGGGATGGTGGCTATTCCTGCCAGTTTGGTGTCATCTGCAAATTTGATGATTTCCCCTTCAGTTCCCTCATCTAAGTCATTGATGAAGATATTGAAGAGTAGTGGGCCTAAGATGGAGCCTTGTGATACTGCTTACTTCTCTCCATGTGGATGTAGTACCATTGAGGACTACTCGTTGAGTACGGTTTGCTATCTGGTGGTGATGTTGGCTATTCCACCTTTTTCTAGCTTACCAAGGAATAGATTGTGGTCTTCCACTGATTTTTGCACACGTAACCTGCTAATTTTATAAAACTACATAGTGATGTTACTTTAGCTATTCCTAGTTAATGAATTATGTTTAGAGAACTACAGTATTTTTTTTAAATTACACACAAAGCAAAAAACAAACCTTGCATCTTAAGAAGACAGAACTCTTGGAATAATTCCTCCAACAGGTATCTTTTATTAAGAGAAAATGGTTGCAGGCATGCTAGACAGGACTTGGGGTCCAAGCTCTCCCATTCAAGGTTTTAAGGGGTTCCCCAGTAGTCCCACCCAATCAACCCCCCTTCCAGTGATAGTTTCAAGTATCACAATTCCACTCCCTTTCTTCTTTCTTCCGTCTGGATGGAGACTTCAGATAACTACATGAAAGGCAATTACTCTCCTTTGGTATGCTAACACTTCGAGGTTACAATAAACACACATTCAGCATTTAGCTCTTTGAAGTGTAAAGAAGGAAGTGAGGGCCATAAAGCCCCTTTGTTCTCCCCCTTCTCTCCCTCTTATGGCAGAATCCAGAGAAGGCAGAATTGGGAGTTTCTATATTTGATAATTTAAAGATGAAATATAATTGGATTCTGACATCCGGCCCCTCTTAACAATAAGAGAAATCCACCTGAAAGAAAACACAAGTATAAAATTTAGTCAGGCTTGTTAGGATACTCTGTGTGAAACTTCTTCAATAGCTTCGGGGCTCTGACATGACGTTTATGGACCCACTCATTTTGTGAGGGAGGGAGGTGTTTCCAGGCAACTAGGTACTGAGTTGCTCCATGATATCTCCTAGAGTCAAGGACTTCCTTTATTTCGAAGTGTTGTTCACCCTCCACCATGATTGGAGGTGGTGGTGGGGGGATTTTTGGCCGTAGAGGTGACTGATGCTCTCTTTTCAGCAAGCTGCAATGAAAAATTGGGTGTATTTGCCTGAGATTTTTGGGTAATTCTAATTCTACTGTTACTGGATTTATGATTCTTTTAATTGGAAAAGGTCCTATGTATTTTGGTCCAAGTTTTTTACAGGGCTGTAGGGACTTTAGGTATTTTGTAGATAAGTACACCATCTCTCCTATAATGAATGGTGTAGGCTCAACCCTTTT